AAAATTGAAAAGTCTGTCTGAAGAATCCGTAAAGTGGAGATTCGAAAAATTGAAAAATCGAAAAATTGAGGAACAAAAAACTGAAAAATTCTAAAACCGAAATATCGAAAAACTGATAAATCGAGAAATCGAAACAAAAAATTTAAAATCGAAAAATGAAAAAAATCGAAGAAAAATTAAAGAATCGAAAAATTGAAGAATCTCTAAACTGAAGCATCGAAAAATTGAAGAATTGAAAAATTGAGAAATCGAAAAGTTGAAAAATTGAAATCGGAAAGTCAAAAAATCGAAAATTTAAAATATCAAAAAACTGAAAAAACGAGAAGTTGAGAAATCGAAAATCGAAAAACCCGTTTACAAAATTGGGAAAGTGAAGATTCGAACAATTGAAGAATAAAAAAATCCTAAAACCTAAATATCAAAAAATTGAAAATCCTAAAATTTAAAAATCGAAAAATTGAAGACTTGAATAAGAAATAATCGACAAATCGAAAAATTTAATCGAAATATTGAAAAATCCCAAAACTGGAAAACAAGAAAAACTGAAGAATCGAAAAATTGATTAATCGAGAACTTGAAACATCAAAAAATCGAAAAAATTGAAACATCTAAAATTTAAAGAACGAAAAATGGAAAAATTGAAGAAAAATTATTGAAGAATCGAAAAATTGAAAAATCTCACAACTGAAATATCGCAAAATCAAAAAATTGATAAATCGAAAAATTTAATATTTCAAAATCGAAAAATTCAATCGAAATATTGGGAAATCCCAAAACAGAAATAGAAGAAACACTGAAGAATCGAAAAATTGATAAATCCAAATATGGAAACATCGAAGAAAAATTATTAAAAAACCGAAAAATTAAACAATCTCAAAACTGAATAATCCAAAAACTGAGAAATCGAGAAATTGAAGAATTGAAGAATCGAGAAATCGAAAAATTGAAGCCGAAAAGTCAAAAACCGAAAATTTAAAATATTGAAAAACCGAAAAATGGAGAAGTTGAGAAATCGAAAATCGAAAAACCAAAAAGTTGATTTATCGAGAAATTGAAAAATTCCAAAACTAAAATAGAAGAAAAACTGATAAATCGAGAAATCGAAACAACAAAATAATTGAAAAATATAAAATTTAAAAACCGAAAAATGAACAAATCGAAGAAAAATTGAAGAATCGAAAAATTGAAAGATCTCAAAACTGAAGCATCGAATAATTGAAGAATTGAAGAATCGAGACATCGAAAAGAAAAACTGAAAAATCGAGATGTTGAGAAATTGAAATTCCAAAAACCAAGAAATGTATTAATTGCGAAATTGAGAAATCGAAAAATCGAAAAACCCGTCTACAAAATTGGGAAAGTGAAGATTCGAAAAATTGAAGAATAAAAAAATCCTAAAACCGAAATACCAAAAAATTGAAAGATCTAAAATTTAAAAATCAAAAAATTGAAAAATCGAATAAGAAAAAAATCGATAAATCGAAAAATTGAACCGAAATATTGAAAAATTCCAAAACTGAAATAGAAGAAATACTGAAGTATCGAAAAATTGATCAATCGAGAACTTGAAACATCGAAAAATCGAAAAATTTGAAAAATCTAAAATTTAAAAATCGAAAAATGGAAAAATCGAAGAAAAATCATTGCAGAATCGAAAAATTGAAAAATCCCAAAACTGAAATATCGAAATATAAAAAAATTGTTAAATCGACAAATCGAAAAATTCAATCGAAATATTGATAAATCAAGAACTCGAAACATCAAAAAATCAAAAAATCTAAAATTTAAAAATCGAAAAATGGAAAAATCGAAGAAAAATAATTGAAGAACTGAAAAATTGAAAAATCTCAAAACTGAAGCACCGAAAAATTGGGAGATCGAAAAATTGAAGAATTGAAGAATCGAGAAATCGAAAAATTGCAGTCAGAAAGTCGAAAAATCGAAAATTTAAAATATCGAATAGGTGAAAAATCCAGAAGTTGAGAAATCGAAAATCTAAAAACAAAAAAGTCGAATAATCGAGATCAAAAAATCGAAAAATCCGTCTTAAGATTCGGGAACGTGAATATTCGAAAAATTGAAAAATTCTAACATTGAAATATCGAAAAATCGAGAAATTGAAAAATCCAAAAATTAAAGAATAAAAAAAACTGAAAAATCCTAAAACAAAAATATCAAAAAATTGAAAAATCGAGACGTCGAAAAGTCGAAAAATCGAAAATTTAAAATCTCGAAAATGCGAAAAATGGAGAAGTTGAGAAATCGAAAACCGAAAAACCAAAAAGTCGATTAATTGAGAAATTGAAAAACTGAAAAACCCGTCTGAAGAATTGGGAAAGTGAAGATTCGAAAAACTGAAATATCAAAAAATCGAGATATTAAAAATCGAAAAATTGAAAAATCTAAAATTTAAAACTCGAATAAGTAAAAAATCGATAACTCGAAACATTGAAAAATCCCAAAAGTATGATTAAGGAAATGCTGAGGAATGAAAAAATTGATAAATTGAGAAATCGAAACATCCAAAAATCAAAAAATGAAAAATCTAAAAATTGAAGTCGAGAAGTCGAAAAATCTAAAATTTAAAAATCGAGAAATCGAAAAATTGAAACATTGAATCGAAATATTGAAAAAACCCAAAACTAAATGAAGAAAAACTGAAGAATCGAAAAATTGATAAATCGAGAAATCGAAACATCAAAAAATCGAAGAATTGAAAAATCTGAAATTTAAAAATCGAAAAATGGAAAAATCGAAGAAAAATTGAAAAATCTCAAAACTGAAGTGCATCAATACATTAAGAGATCGAAAAATTGAAGAATCGAACCTACTGAAAAATTCCAAAACTGAACCGGAAAAATCGAGAAATCAAAACCACAAAAAATCGAAAAATTCACAATCCAAAATTTAAAAATCGGGAAATCGAAAAATTGATAAATCGTGAAATGGAAACATAAAAAAATCGAAGAAAAATTGAAGAATTGAAGAATCGAGAAATCGAAAAGTCGAAAAATTAAACTCCAAAATTCCAAAACTGACAGAAAAATCGAAAATCCAAAATTTAAAAATCGGCAAATCAAAAAATTGAAGAGTTGAAATAATGAAAAATCCTAAAATCGAAGCATCAAAAAATTGAAAAGCGGAGACATCGAATTGTCGAAAAATCGAGAAGTTGAGAAATCGAAAATCGAAGAATTAAAAATTCATAAAACTGAAACATCGCAAATTTGAGAAATTGAAAAGCCCGTCTGAAGAGAAAGTGGAGATTCGAAAAATTAAAGAAAAAAAAATGAGGGATTCTAAAATCGAAATATCAAAAAATTGAAAAATCTAAAATTTAAAAGTCGAAGAATTGAATCGTAATATGTATTGAAAAATCCCAAAACTAAAATAGAAGAAAACTGAAGCATCGAAAAGTCGAAACGTCGAAAAATTGAATAACTGAAAAATCGAAGAATTAAACAATTAAAAAATCGAGAAGTTGAGAAATCAAGAAGTCGAAAAACCAAAAAGCGATTAGTTAACAAAAACAAACCTTAGAATGATTTGATTCTCAATTTTTCTGGCTTTATATATTTTCATTAAATCGATCATTTAAATTTAATTACACATCACACACAAGTATTTTACGCCAATTAACCAATCAGTAAGATTTACACCGATTTAACGACATCTGTAACGATTCATCAAATAAAAAAAATCGATTTCTCCTACAATTTCCACGCTCTCTTCGAGCCTGTATAACCCTGATAAACGCTAATACCAAAACAGAAAAAACCCTCAAGGCCAAAATGGTAATTGTCTGTTGAACTTTTCTGAGCAATGGAAAGTGTATAATAGTCACAAATGAAATAAAATCCATTCCGACCTTGAGTTTCTACTCGGATGCAAGCAACGGACATACGGCTGACCACTTAAATGCGAAAATTATCGACTTGCACCTGTCCTTTACCAGAGCTGGATTACACCGCCTGCAACGTAATCCTCTCCTCAACCGCCACGAATCGACCCCGGCCCTCAAAACCCCCCTAATCCGAAATTTTCAGGCCACCACTGTACATACACACGACCACAACCCAATATCTCGCCGGACGCGTCCAAGACCCCAGTAATCGCTACCCGAGCTCCTCGAAAAATCCTGCTATCTGGCCTTTGTCACTCGAATTGTTCATCCTGTTTCTGAATGATAACATAAAAGGAAGTTTGTACTACATTTGAGCGTCGCCTGCGATGTTTATTCTAGTGCGACCGAAATTCCTTGCATTTCCTGTATTTATATTTAGGTGGTGTCGAAGTCGCGAGCTCAGGTTGTCAAACTGTCTGCGTCGGAGGTCAAAAGAACGCATTGTAGCAGCTTATCGCACGAATGTTTTCCACTAATTAGCCGAGAATGCGATTCACTTGGAAAGAATTCGTGATAGATATGTCGAAACCGAACAGAAATAGTAGTTGTTGAGGTTTTTTTCGACGGTTGCGCCCACTGCAGCGAGCGACGATTGAAAGAGTAAACAAAAATGATGGTATTTGCATGAACGTGTAACAAGGTGACGACAAACGTAGCTGTTTTTAAATGCAACTGGATTTTTGCTTCCTGTAGTCGCGTTGTCACTCATCTCGGTCAAAAAACTGATGACGTCACGCTAAAATAAATCATCTATTCAACAAACCCCTGTACCCTGTACCTTGTAAATACACCCGATTTCACTACTCTACGCACGTTCCATGACCATCCTTCATCCAGGCGTCGTCGTCCGGACGCCTCGGCAACCTTCACGTGTTTACATTCCATAAAATAATCACAACGCGTCCATCGATCTCGATCATTTATTTAGCCGTCGCGATAAAGAAGCGATAGGATAGTGCATCTGCTCATGTTCGAGCCTTCAAAACAACCCGGTTTATTTTCGGATAATGAATAAGTCCGGGCAAGGACGCAACGTTCCACGTTCGCCGAAAACAAAATGAGTTGTCGGTTTGGCGTGGCGTGACTACAAACTCACCTGTAACCTCGAGTCGATCTGGGGCTGCGAAATGGACAGGGAGGAAGAGCTCTGAGCCGCATCCAGCTCGATGTCAGAGCCGGAGTTCGGGGAGTGGAAGACGCTGTCGTGGGAGACGCTGAGGCCGGGGGGCATCGACGACCCGCTCCTGCTGAAAAGGGGAGGTTTGAGTTTAAAAGATGCGTAAATGGCGCAGTCGGTGGGATTGACATAATGATCCAGAAGTGTCTTTTTTTAAGGAATGTGAAAAAATCTGGGGGCCTTAAGCGTCATTTTTAAGGAATGGGAAAGAATCTCGGGGGCCTCACGAGCTTTTTTTTGCAGGAATGAGGAGGAATCTCGGGGCTTTGTGTCTTTTTTTCAGAAATGAGAAAAATGTCAGAGGCCCAAATTGTTTTTTTTTTGTTTTCAGGAATGAGAAAACATCTCGAGGGTTCTGAGTATCTTTTTTTCAAGAACGAGAAAGCATTTCGGGGCACTCAAGTATCTTTTTTCAGAAAGGGGAAAGAACCTCGGGGGCCCCAAGTGGTTTTTTTATTGGGATTGCGAAAGAACTTCGGGGGTGTATCAAGTGTCTTTTTTTCAGGAATGAGAAAGAATCTTGGGAGCCTAAAGGGTTTTCTGTTCAAAAAAGAATCTCGGAGGCTTCAAGGGACTTTTTTTCAGGAATGAGAATGAATCTCGGAGGGTAAAGTGTCTTTTTTTCATAATGAGAAAGAATCTCGGGGGTCTCAAAGGTGTTTTTTTGAGAAAAGAGAAGGAATCTCGGGGGTCTCCGTGTATTTACTTCAGAAATGAGAAAGAATCTCAGGGGCCTCAAGTGTTTTTTTTTCCAGAAATGAGAAAGAATATCAAGGGCTCCAAGTGTCTTTTTTGGAATGAAAAAGAATCCCGGTGACTTCAAGTGTCCTTTTTTCAGGAATGAGAAAGAATCTCAGGAATTTCAAGGTTTTTTTTTTCTTCAGGAAACAATATGCGGGGCTTCAAGAGTCTTTCTTGGAATGAAAAAGAATCTCGGGGGCTTCAAGTCTTTTTTCAGGAATGAGAAAAAATCTCGGTGGACTCAAAAGTGTCTTTTTTCAGAAATGAGAAAGAAACGTTTTTTTTTTCAGGAAAGAATCTCGGAAGCTTCAACAGTTTTTTTCAGGAAAGAAGTTCGGGGGTTTAAAGAGCCTTTTTTTCAGGAATGAATAGGAATCTCGAGGCTTCGTATCTTTTTTTCCCAGAAATGAGAAAGAATCTTATAGGCCTCAAGCGGTTTTTTTTAAGAATGAGAAAGAATTTCGAGGGATTTAACAGTCTTTTTTTTCAGGAATGAGAAAAAATCTCGGTGGCCTCAAATGTGTTTTTTTTTGAGAAATGAGAAGGAATCTCGGGGGCCTCACGCGTTTTTTTTTTTTCAGGAATGAATAAAAATCATAGGGGCCTCAAGTAGTTTTTTTCAGGAATGAGAAAGAATCTCAAGGGCTCCAAGTGTCTTTTTTTGGAATGAGAAAGAATCTCGGTGACTTCAAGTGTCCTTTTTTCAGGAATGAGAAAGAATCACGGTGGCCAAAAGTGTCTTTTTTTCAGAAATGAGAAAGAATCTCGGGAACTTCAAGGTCTTTTTTTCTTCAGGAAAGAAACTGCGGGGCTTCAAGTGTCTTTTTTGGAATGAGAAAGAATCTCGGGGGCTTTAAGTGTCTTTTGTCCAGGAACGAGAAAAAATCTCTGTGGACTCAAGTGTCTTTTTTCAGAAATGAGAAAGAATCTCGGGAGCCTCAACGGTTTTTTTTTTCTGGAAAGAATCTCGGGAGCTTCAGCGGCTTTTTTCTCAGGAAATAATCTCGGGGGCTTCAAGAGTTTTTTTCAGGAATGAATAGGAATCTCGAGGCTTCGTATCTTTTTTTCCCAGAAATAAGAAAGAATCTCATAGGCCTCAAGCGGTTTTTTAAAGAGTGATAAAGAATGTCGGGGGCTTTAAGCGTCTTTTTTCAGGAATGAGAAATAATCTCGGTGGCCTCAAGTGTGTTTTTTGAGAAATGAGATTTTCAGGAATGAATAAAAATCATAGGGGCTTCAAGTGGTTTTTTTCAGGAATGGGAAAGAATCTCAGGGGCCCCAAGTGTCTTTTCTGGAATGAGAAAGAATCTCGGGAACTGCAAGGTTTTTTTTCTTCAGGAAAGAAACTGCGGGGCTTCAAGAGAGTTTTTTGGAATGAGAAAAAATCTCGGTGGACTCAAGTGTCTTTTTTCAGAAATGGGAAAGAATCTCGGGAGCCTCAACGGTTTTTTTTTTTCAGGAAAGAATCTCGGGAGCCTCGACGGCTTTTTTTTCAGGAAATAATCTCGGGGGCTTCAAGAGTCTTTTTTCAGGAATGAATAGGAATCTCGAGGCTTCGTATCTTTTTTTCCCAGAAATGAGAAAGAATTTCATAGGCCTCAAGCGGTTTTTTTTAAGAATGAGAAATAATCTCGGTGGCCTCAAGTGTGTTTTTTGAGAAATGAGATTTTCAGGAATGAATAAAAATCATAGGGGCCTCAAGTGGTTTTTTTCAGGAATGGGAAAGAATCTCAGGGGCCCCAAGTGTCTTTTTTGGAATGAGAAAGAATCTCGGTGGCTTCAAGTGTCTTTTTTCAGGAATGAGAAAAAATCTTGGGGGCCGCATGTGGCTTTTTTGAGGGATGAGAAAGAATCTCAGGGGCTCCAAGTGTCTTTTTTTGGAATGAGAACGAATCTCGGTGACTTCAAATGTCCTTTTTTCAGGAATTAGAAAGAAACACGGTGGCCTCAAGTGTCTTTTTTTCAGAAATGAGAAAGAATCTCGGGAACTTAAGGTTTTATTTTTCAGGAAAGAAACTGCGGGGCTTCAAGAGTCTTTTTTGGAATGAGAAAGAATCTCGGGGGCTTCAAGTGTCTTTTTTTCAGGAATGAGAAAAAATCTCGGTGGACTCAAGTGTCTTTTTTCAGAAATGAGAAAGAATCTCGGGAGCCTCAACGGTTTTTTTTCCAAGAAAGATTCTCGGGACCCTCAACGGCTTTTTTTTCATGAAATAATCTCGGGGACTTGAAGAGTCTTTTTTTTTGGAATGAATAGGAATCTCGAGGCTTCGTATCTTTTTTTCCAAGAAATGAGAAAGAATCTCATATGCCTCAGCGATTTTTTTTTAAGAATGAGAAAGAATTTCGGGGGCTTTAGGTGTCTTTTTTTCAAGAATGAGAAAGAATCTCGGGGGGCTCAAGCGTTTTTTTTTTTCAGGAATGAATAAAAATCATAGGGGCCTTAAGTGGTTTTTTTCAGTAATGAGAAAGAATCTTAGGGGCCCCAAGTGTCTTTTTTGGAATGAGAAAAAATCCCGGTGGCTTCAAGTGTGTTTTTTCAGGAATGAGAAAGAATCTCGTTGGCCTCAAGTGTCTTTTTTTCCGAAATGAGAAAGAATCTCGGGAGTCTCAAGGGTTTTTTTTCTTCGGAAAAGAATCTCGGGGGCTTCAAGTCTTTTTTTCAGAAATTAATAGGAATCTCGTGGTCTCGTGTCTTTGTTTCCAGAAATAAGAAAGAATCTCAGAGGCCTCAAACGGTTTTTTTCAGGAATGAGCAGGAATCTCGGGCCCTCGTGTCTTTTTTTTTCAGAAATGAGAAAGAATGTCAGGGGCCCCAAGTGTTTTTTTTTAGGAATGAGAAAAACATTTCGAGGGCCTCGAGTGTCTTTTTTCAGAAATGGAAAAGAACCTCGGGGGCCTCAAGCGGTTTTTTTCAGAAATGAGAAAGATTCTCACGAGGCCTCACGCGGTTTTTTTCAGGAATGAGAAAGAATCTCAGGAGCCCCAAGTGTTTATTTTTCAGGAATGAGAAAAAAATCTTGGGAATTTCACGGGTTTTTTTCTTCAGGAAAGAATCTGGGGGGCTTCAAGAGTCTTTTTTCAGGAATGAATAGGAATCTCGTGGCCTCGAGTCTTTGTTTTCGGAAATCAGAAAGAATCTCAGAGGCCTCAAACGGTTTTTTTCAGGAAAGAATTTCGATAGCTTCAAGAGTCTTTTTTTCAGAAATGAGAAAAAAATCTTACAGGCTTCGTGCAGTTTTTTCAAGAACGACAAAAAAATCTCGGGGGTTTCAACTGTATTTTTTTCAGGAATGAGAAAGAATCTCGATGGCCTCAAGTGTCTTTCTTCAGAAATGAGAAAGAATGTCAGGTGCCTCAAGTGTTTTTTTTTCAGGAATCAGAAACAATCTTGGGCGCCTCAAGTGGTTTTTTTCAGGAATGAGAAAGAATCTCGGGAAACTCAAGGGATTTTATTCTTCTGGAAAGAATCTGGGGGGCTTCAAGTCTTTTTTCAGGAATGAATAGAAATTTCGTGGCCTCGAGTCTTTGTTTTCAGAAATGAGAAAGAATCTCAGAGGCCTCATGCAGTTTTTTCAGGAATGACAAAGAATCTCGGGGGTTTCAACTGTATTTTTTTCAGGAATGAGAAAAAATCTCGGTGGCCTCAAGTGTCTTTTTTTCAGAAATGAGAAAGAATCTCGGGAACCTCAAGGATTTTTTCGTCAGGACAATATGTTTATTAAAAAAATTAAAAAAAATCTGGGGGGCTTCAAGAGTCTTTTTTTCAGAAATGTGTTGGAATCTCGTGACCTCAAGTCTTTGTTTTTAGAAATGAGAAAGAATCTCAGAAGTCTCAAAACGGTTTTTTCAGGAATGCGAAAAAATCACGGGCACTTTAAGTGTCTTTTTTTCGGGAATGCGAAAGAAACTTGATGGCCTCAAAGGTTTTTTTTCAGGAAAAAATCTCGGGGGTTTCAAGTCTTCTTTTCAGGAATGAGAAGGTATCTCGGGGCCTCGTTTTTTTTTTCAGAAATGAGAAAGAATCCCAGAGGCTTTCGTGCAGTTTTTTCAGGAATGACAAAAAATCTTGGGGGCTTCAACTGTATTTTTTTCAGGAGTGAGAAAGAATCTCAGAGGCCTCAAACGGTTTTTTTTTTCAGGAATGAGAAAGAATTTCGCGGGCCTCAAAGGCGTTTTTTTTTTTTTTGAGAAATGAGAAGGAATCACGGGTGCCCTCGTGTCTTTATTTCAGAAATGAGAAAGAATCTCAGGGACCTCAAGTGTTTTTTTTCAGGGATGAGAAAAAAATCTTGGCATCCTCAAGTGGCTTTTTTCAGAAATGAGAAAGAATGTCAGGGGCACCTAGTGTATTTTTTTAAAGAGGATAAAGGATCTCGGAAACCTAATGTCTATTTTCAGGAATGAGAAAGAATCTCGGGGGCTTCAATTGTCTTTTTTCAGGAATAAGAAATTGTGTCGGGAGCCTCAAGCGTCTTTTTTTCTGAAACGAAAAAGAATCGCAGGGACACCTTGTAGGTATTTTTTTTTTCAGCAGTAAGAAAAAATCTCGGGGGCCTCAAGTGCCTTTTTTCAGGGATAAGAAAGAATCTCGAGAGCTTCAGGTGTCTATTTTCGAAAATATCTCGGGAGCCTCAAGCGTTTTTTTTTTCAGGAATGAGAAGGAATCTTGGGTGCACCTGGTGTATTGTTTTCAGGAATGAGAAAAAATCTCGGGGCGTCCAGTGTCTTTTTTTCAGGAATGAGAAAGAATCTCAGGGGCACCTAGTGTATGAATGAAAAAAAATTTCGGGAACGAACACCTATTGTATTTTTTTGAGGAATGAAAAAGAATCTCAGGGGCATCTTTTGTGTATCTTTTTTCAGAAACAAGAAAAAATCTCGAGGACACTTGGTGTATTTTTTTTCAGAAAGAGAAAGAATCTCGGGGGTCCCTGGTGTCTTTTTTTTTCAGGAATAAGAAAGAATCTCGGAGGCCGCAAATGCCCTTTTTTCAGGAATGAGGCAGAATCGGGGGTTTTAGTCAGGAATGAAAATAATCTCGTGAGCCCTTGTATTTTTAAAGCTCTATGAACACGGTCCCGTGCCGCAACCAGCTCAACTTTATCCCACACAATTACTCATCTCCTCACCTCCTTCTAATCTGGTCGTCCGTGATGGACAGCTCGCTCGTGGACCTGCTCCTGAGGTCATCCTTCTCGACGATATCCACCGGAATGACGTCCTCCGCTGCCTTGTTCTTCCTCTTGAACCACTTCCTGGGGTTCCAGAACTTCCTCTTCGTCGCCGCTGCAATCACAAACCCCGATTAGTCCCGCCTGCCGTTAATTGACGTTCAATTAATATAAAACAGACGCCCACACGGAAACTCCCCGTTTGGTCATTTACCGACAGCGTACTTCCTTCGCTTCGCCATGCCTCTATCGGGAGGGTCAAACTATCAATTGCTCGGCAATTGTGCACCGACTAAACGCTGCCGTGATTGTTGTCGAAGCGCTCGGATGACTCATTGCGTCCAGCAGTTCGTCCGTTCGCCACGCAGAAAAAACGTCGTTTTCCTACTTGACGCTCTTTGTTTACATGATAAGCGCGCTCAACTGCACCTAAATTACTCAGCGGCTTTAAAATTGGTAGACCGAATTGCCCCTCATCGAACATGTGTTTTCGAGAGGCGATCCCGATTAGATTGTATTGTTCGCGATATCGTGGGATTTAGCTAAACAATTGCGCGATAACGAGTATTTTTGGGCGCATCCTGCCCGCGTATGGGCTCGGATTAGTCCCAATCGAAAAAGGGCGACGCGGAGCCTATTTCGGCCGGATTAAAAATTTAAAGGGCGCGATACACCTTCACGCATATAGGGGGTTTAAATTTTGAACAGCGCCCGGTCGATGCGGCTTTATTATTTACGAGGACTTGGAATAAAATAAGGAGAGTTTATTACTTCGGCCGCAAAGTAAATACTCGTTTGAGTTGAGAAATGTCGCCCGAGAAAACGGAACGCCTCAATTATTAACCAAGAACAATGAACTTGGTTGATTCGGACACGTCGTTTCCGAGGGAGATTGATTTTTTGAGTGACAATAAGCGAACGCTATTGATTGAAAGGGGTTATGAACCTTGGAATGCTTACGCAGACACTGTACACAACGATCAAATGTGTAACTATGACGCATCTGTACAAGGACAATTAGTGCAACAAAACCGGCGGTAATTTGGCCACACAGCAAAAACAACAGTCATAAATAACAGCTGCATACCACACTAAAACCTCAAAAGTGTTTAGAAATATGTTCATTATAGTTACGGTTGGGTCACACCACACACAATGACCATTTTTCCACACAGCTTCGGGCGTCAGCTGTTTTAGCTTCCAGAAAACACTCATTTGCGCTCAGATAATAAATTATGTACGTTCGTAAAGCCGCAAGTACACTTTTACATGCGATATCGGCTAATTGTGACATGGTCTTATTGAATTGTTTGTCGGTTCGCGTTCAATCCAATAAATAATTCATAAAGCACTCTCACGGAACTGTTTAAGATAGGAACTTCGTAATTACCTTTCCAGTTATTTTGCCACCTGATCCCGCTTAAAGGCTCAAATAATTCAGAAAAGTTTTTACAGGAGTGCTCTGCATTTTTAATAATTTTTTTCTAAAAAGAATCTGAGGTCAGCTTAATGAGGGTCGTATTTCGAGCCCGCGTAAATGGACTTGTCCGAACACAACAAAAAATTCAAAGTTCGCTCGTTCTTGGTAAAGTGTTGCATCAACGATTCGATCGGTGAGAATCGAGAACTGTTTCTCGTGGCTTTTAACCGCAATTGTTGCAAAAACAATATTTCAACCGTTTAATTTTGGGTTTTTTGTCGTCTGAGCGGTATTATCGGAGTGCAGACAAAAAGCGCTCCCGTAACAGTATCGAGTTCGTCAAAAATCGAAAAAACTTACTTTCTAGGTCATACTCTTCGGAGTTGAAGTTGTACAAACTTATCGATCTCTGCATTATTTTTCAACTCGGTTGGCAAAACTACCGAACAAAACTGGCGATTATCAATCCCTTTATCACTGTGCGCACTAAGATTAATTTTACGCTATCGATTGTCGCCCACCGGTGATTTCGTAATAGATTTTGAAATAATACACCGAATTTCGTTGTACGAATTCGAAGTTGCCACTGTTATTATTTATAGGCGGCACGTACGGAGAGAATTTACTTGAATTTATTACTCCGCGGAGTTCTGCAGGGACGTCCTTACGCCTTGCATTTTTCATAGAACGTGCAACGATATTTTATCAACATGTACAACAAACATGGAATTCGATTAAAGTTTGGGCTGGATAACAGTTTTGCCATTAATTCGTAATAGGTGTTATTAGCGTGGAACATATTGTTTTTTCGAGTGTGCGATGATGTTGGAGATTTCGTGGGTTTGTCAACGAACAGGATGTTCGCCTAAAAATAAACACGTTCGAAATAGAATTATATCGAGAATAAAAAATAAATAAAATTTCTTCGGCTTCTGCATATTTCGGCGCCTACGAGCACGCAAATTTCCGATTTGTTTATGTTCTATGCGTTCTTCAACCGGATCTCACTTCAATAAATCGATAAATTTCGATAAATTTTACTACTTACGAGTTTAAGGTCACGAAATTATGTCAGTGGTACATGAATTTTCGTCGCAAAAAAACTAGAAAATTTCTAAGAAGGTTGAGAAAAAACGCATCCTAATCGAATAATAAATGAGCGGAAGTACAGTTTTAAACGGTGATTAGCCAGCATGAATTTTTAATAAACTGAATTATCAAGAAAACCGAAAATGGAGGTTAATGAAAAGCAGCGCGCGAGGAAACATTAATAAAAATAACTCGAGGGATATTTCACACTTACGACGCCAAACTATGATTTATTTCCAGCGACATTACCATAAATACTCGTTATCCTTAGAACGGGGCTTGATGGAGAATTTTAAACCCGGTTTTGTGACATTTGGCGATTTTATCGGCGACGAACGCCGCACACAGATAACAAATCTACCGAGTTTACAAAGTGTTTTGCTATTTTCGGTCTTTCCCCCGTAATTAGATCAAAACCAATAAAATGCGAGCGTGGAAATTGGGACAAACCGATGCGTAATGGGAGTGATCAATACGTGCTCTTGCATCTGGCGTTCGTGGACGTCGGGAATTGGCGCTTTTAATTGTAGGATTCCGACACTAATGAGATATTTCAAATTTCGGGCAAAAATTGAAAGTGTGGGAAGCTTGTGTTTTGCAACCACTAATACAGAGTTTGAAAAATCCCATTGGGTTTGAGTGACAATAATAACAGAGAACATAGAGAAGCGTCATGACGGTTGAGGACACCTCGCTTGCTGTTTCAACTTTCGAATTCTCAGTTTTTCGAAATTTTAGTTTGGGGACTTTTCGATCTACTCCTATTTATTTTTCAATTTTTGGATTTTACAATTTCTCAATTTTTCAATTTCTGGTTTTCAGTTTTTCTCTTAAATTTTATGATTTTTTAATATTTCGATTTTTCAATTTTTGACTTTTATAAACTCTTTATTTGTCGATTTTTCAATTAATTAATTTTTCAGGTTTTTTGGTTATTCAATGTTTCTATTTTTTCGGGTTTCGATTTTTCAACTTCACTTTTTTCATTTTTCGATTTCTCAATTTTTCAATTTTTTAATTTCTCAGTGTTTGGACATTTCAGTTTTGGGATTTTTCAGTTTACTTATTATTCAATTTTTCGATCTTACGATGTTGCAGGTTTTTGATTTTTCGATTTTTCGATTTTTTTTAAGGTTTCGATATTTTGACTTCACTTTTTGGATTTTTCAATTTCTCAATTTTTCGATTCTTTCGGTTCTCAGTTTTTGGACATTTCAGTTTTGTGATTTTTCAGTTTTGGGATTTTTCAATATTTTGATTCACCGACTTTTTCGATTTTTCGACTTTCCGGTTTTAGATTTTTTGTTTTCAATTGTCGTTTTAAATTTTTCGATTTTTCAATGTTTTGATTTCCCGATTTAGTTTCCCATTTTTAGTTTTTCTTTCATTTTTCAGTTTTTCGATATTTCAGTTTTGGGATTTTTCAATATTTTGATTCTTCGACTTTTCGATTTTTGACTCCTAGATTTTTCGATGTGTCGATTTTTTTAATTTTTCGATTTTTAAATTTTAGATTTTTCGATTTCTCAATTTTTCAATTCAGTTCTTCGATATTTCAGTTTTTCAAGTTTTGGAATTTTTCAAATGTTTTGATTTCTTAATCAATCGATTTTTCGACTTCCCGGTTTTAGATTTTCTGTTTTTCAATTGTCGTTTTTTCAGATTTTCGATATTTTAATTTTTCAAATTTGACTTTTATAAACTCTGAATTTTTCGATTTTTCAATTAATCGATGTTTTGATTTTCCCTTTTCTTGACCTTCTAGTGTTTAATATTTAATATTTGTTCAGTTCAAACTGATTTTGGCACTCTTGACATTTTAGACCATTTTTCAGACATTTCCGAAAATTAGTTGGACATTCTCTGAACATAATAAGCCCCACCCACCCACCCGGTCTCCTTTTCAGTGATTTATTTTATCCGAAGTGAATGAAATGAATGATCTTATACTGAAAAGAAATAAAATTAGTCCTTAGAATGAGAAGAGGGGTTGGGGGATGGGCGGGGCTAGTTCTTGCCAAGATAAGACTGATCTTGGCAAATGATATACCTTCCAAGAAAATAGAGGGTGGGTGGGCGGGGCTAATATTTGTTCAGTTCAAACTGATTTTGGCACTCTTGACATTTTAGACCATTTTTCAGACATTTCCGAAAATTAGTTGGACATTCTCTGAACATAATAAGCCCCACCCACCCACCCGGTCTCTTTTTCAGTGATTTATTTTATCCAAAGTGAATGAAATGAATCATCTTATACTGAAAAGAATTAAAATTAGTCCTTAGAATGAGAAGAGGGGGTGGGGGGTGGGTGGGGCTAGTTCTTGCTAAGAAAAGACTGATCTTGGCAAATGATATACCTTCCAAGAAAATAGAGGGTGGGTGGGCGGGGCTAATATTTGTTCAGTTCAAACTGGTTTTGGCACTTTTTACATTTTCGAGCATTTTTCAGACATTTCCGAAAATTAGTTGGACATTCTCTGAACATAATAAGCCCCACCCACCCACCCGGTCTCCTTTTCAGTGATTTATTTTATCAGAAATGAACGAAATGAATGATTTTGTACCGAAAAGAAATAAAATTAGTCCTTAGAATGAGAAGAGGGGGTGGGGGGTGGGCGGGGCTAGTTCATGCTAAGATAAGACTGATCTTGGCAAATGACACATTTGCTGTTCTTCAATTCTTTAATTTTTTGATTTTTCGATTTTTTAAGGTTTCTATTTTTCGACTTCACTTTTTTGATTTTTCGATTTTTCAGTTTTTAGATATTTCAGTTTTAGGATTTTTCAATATTTCAATTCTTCGGCTTTTCTATTTTTGACTTGTGGGTTTTTCGATGTGTCTTTACTTTTTCGATTTTTCAATTTTTGGATTTTTAAATTTTAGATTTTTCAATGTTTCGACATTTTGATTTTCAATATTTCTTAATCTTCCGATTTTTCGACTTTCTGGTTTTAGATGTTCTGTTTTACAATTTTTCGATGTGTTAATTTTTTGTTCCCGATTTATCGAGATTTGATCGTTCAGTTTTTCAATTTTTTATTTTGGCCTATTTCGATTTCTCAGTTTTGCCAGTTTTCCATTTTTTCCTTTTTTGATTTTTCCGCTTTTCCAATTTTTCAAGTTTTAACTGTTTGTTTGTCGATTTCTCTATTTTTCGATTTTTCTACTTCATCACTTTTCGATTTCTCATTCTTGGATCTTTCAATCTCTCAATTTTTCAATTTTTCGAATTTTTAAGTTTTTTGATTTCTCGATTTATCGAGATTTAGATTTTTCGATATTTTGATTGTCAATTTCTCAATTTATAATTTGTTTAATTTTTAACTTTTCGATTTATCAGTTATTCGATTTTTTAAATTTGGGAGTTTCGATTTCTCGATTTTTTGACTTTTTAGGTTCTTAGTTTTCGGATTTTTCAGGTTTTCCATTTTTCAGTTTTTCGATATCTCAGTTTTGGGATTCTTCAATATTTCGATTCTTCGACTTTTCGATTTTTGACTCCTGGATTTTTCGATGTATCGATTATTTTACTTTTTCGATTTTTTCAATTTTTCGATTTTTAATTTTTAAAATTTTAGACTTTTCGATTTCTCGATTTTTCAGTTCAGTTCTTCGATATTTGAATTTTTCAAGTTTTCGAATTTTTCAAATGTTTCGGTTTCTTAATCTTTTGATTTTTCGACTTCCCAGTTTTGGATTTTCTGTTTTTCAATTGTCATTTTGTCAAATTTTCGATTTTTTAATTTTTCAAATCTAAAGTTCACAAACTCTCAATTTTTCGATTTTTCAATCAATCGATGTTTTGATTTTCCCATTTCTTGACCTTCGAGTGTTTCGATTTTCCTGTTATTCAATTTTTCGATTTTTAAAGGTTTCTATTTTTCGATTTTTCAATTTTTGGATTTTTAAATTTTCGATTTTTCAATTTTGTTATATTTTAATTTTTCAGTATTTCTTTAATCTTCCGATTTTTCGACTTCCTCGTTTTATATGTTCTGTTTTTCAATTTTTCGATTTGTTTTAATTTTTCATTCCCGATTTATTTGATTGTTTAGGTTTTCGAATTATTAGTTTTTCAATTTTTTATTTTGGCATATTTCGGTTTCTCAGTTTTTCCAGTTTTCCATTTTTTCTTTTTTTTTTTATTTTTCCAGTTTTCCAGTTTTCCATTTTTTCTTTTTTTTATTTTTCCGCTTTTCAAATTTTTCAACTTTTAACTTTTTGCTTGTCGATTTTTCTACTTTTCGATTTCTCGTTCTTTGGATCTTTCAATCTCTCAATTTTTCGAATTTTTAGTTTTTTGATTTCTCGATTTTGGTCTATTTCGGTTTCTCAATTGCTCGACTTTTCGACTCGACGATTTCTTGATCTTTTGATTTTTCGATTTCTCAGTTTATCGATTTTCCAGTTTTTCGATGTTTCGATTTTTCGTTATTCGGTTTTTAAATTTTACATTTTTTCGATTTTCAGTTCTTCGATATTTCGATTTTTCAATATTTCGATTTTTCGATTATTATTATTAGGTTTCTCGATTTTTCGATTATTTTAATTGCTTATATGTTTCCTCACTGTTAATATCATACAGTGTATCGAAAACAACCACGAAAATTGTCACTAAAAACAAAAAAAATCATACAAAATAGAACAGTGTTTCCAAAACGTTTTCCCGAAAAAAATCCATTGGGTTATTACGATTTCAACAATATTCTTAGTTTAAGACATTTTGCTAGTATAACACACACATAAAGAATTAATTCTTAGTTAAACAAAATATGTAAAATCATCTAAATATGTACCAAAAATATTCACTACTCTATGATAATAACTCGTGTCGGCGCAGTTTGTCCTTCGTCGTTCATTTCGTTATCGGCGCAGTTGGCCTACGCCACGTGCAGTCGCGACCAGGTCTTCAGCCACCCGGAAACTCCTCTTCGTCATCGCCTCCCCCCCGGAGGAAAGTTTGTTGTCGTCGCCGGCGCCCCGCTCCGGGTCGATGTCGGTGTTTTCGCGTCTCGATCGTGCCCGTTCTGGTCATACTCCCTCGCACTTTTCTTAACTGTAAATTAATTTCGCGGTTCCATTGTTGGGCGAATCGATGGAACGATGACTCTCCGCATCCACGAGAAAATTGCCTTCCGTTGACAATTATTAAATTTAATTACCGTCGGCTTTCCTCCGAGCACACTTAATAAAATGAACATCGTTATGGGGCCGTTACGTGCGTGACTCCTCGCAATCATTTCAAAGGTCCGACGATAAGCGAAAAACATTCAGTCGTTAAATCGTCGACTGGCTCGGTCTGACCTTCTTTCGACTGCCAAAAGGTATAATCCCGGCGGACGACGAGATATGATTTCCTAGAGCGCAACCGAACGGTACTTCTTATTCTGTGCCACGAGGTTTATGTTAACTGTAAACTAATGTGGGTGTTTGCATATGGTACTGGAGGATGGGTGACCAAGTAGTGATTTTTACATACTGACCCGATTTTGTTGCAACTCAAATAAACACCCCCGAAACGTGCGAATTTCCCGCAATAATTATTAATCGAATTGGAGAAGTTCCAGTTCGATTCTCGTCTCACCGTTTTTTTCGTTGTCGGGGGGCTCGTAGTCTTGCAGAGGCGACGACTCCCTCACGCAGGACATCAGGCTGAGGGGTCCGGCCCCCGAGTGGTGATGGGTCCCGACGGCCGCTGATGACATCTGCAATTGAAAGCGGTGTCCGTTAATACCAGTAATTGGATAGTTGGGGAACGGTTAGCGCATAAATAATCCACGGCGGGAAATAAAAAGCTAGGATTACGGGTCTTGAGCTTTTGGGGCTTCGGTGGGAGGTTGTAGAGTTTCGAGCTGTGAATGTCAAAGTATATGGTTTAAGGGGACTCGCTAGACGAGCTATAACATTTTTTTGGTTTTTTGTATGAAAAAATGATATTAATATAGATGTATCATACATCAAACTGCAGCTTTTTTCATATTCTAGAGCGCAGAGATCAGTTCTATCAACTAAAAAAATATGGCTGAGAAATATCGTAAAAAAAGCACCATTGTATGTTTTTTTTTCAAGTTTTTTGAGTCATAACCATCATAGAATCGCTTGAAAATTCGCACATGGATAAAACATCACTTTTTACAGGGCGCAGAGTCATTAAATGTTTGTAAGTGGTACAATTTTTTTAAATAATAATGTGTTTATTAAAATCAAAATATACCACAAATTAATACAAAATACGTCGAATAATTTTAACAGGAATATCAGAAGAAAATTAATGATCTATTGGTTAGCAGAGTTTTTAACAAAAACTAACAATTATTGAAAAAAATGGGTATCAATTCGACAGAATTTGAGCAGTTAGTTCAGTATTTTGCCGATAGGAGCGCCACTAAAATTTACGGAAGCGACTTTCCAGGTAAACCCTTATCACCTGCTCTACCATAAGCTGATTGTTAGCGTTCTCGGCTGATTTTTCTAATTTATGGCAAGGAACTCAGTTTTATAACAAGCCGCCAGGACCGGCCGTAGTAATCTATTGTTAAGGAAATTAACTTTTACGCAATGAGGTACTATCATAAAACCGAATTAAAACTGGGGAACTGTAATATTTTTACTCCACTCAGGATCCTGACTTCAATACACATGATTACTAAAAAATTCATTGTAATATTATTGTTAATATATATTTTGCTTTGTTAATTAATAAAACTAATAAACATGTTTATAATAATAATAAAAAATATATAAAATACAGCTTTTGTTTAACACGTATAAGTAGCTAAGTGTATCTACTACTTATCCCAGAGAGGAGGTGTTTTAAAAAAACCTTACGCCCAGTAACTTCTCCCTTCATTGTTTACTCGAATAAAGTGCTCGTATATGTTTTCATTTGCCGAGAGATCATTTTCAAAATATATTTATAATAATAATATGCAAGTCTTGGTGATGAAAAATGTACTCCTAATAAAGTATTAGGTTACATAAAAAAATAGAAACAAATTTTATTTATTTAAAATTTACAAAATATGATGAGTCTCTTCTTGTAATTTATCATTCCATTCATATTTTTTAGATTCGGATATACAGGGTGACTCAAAAAATTTAATGAATGCGCAAATTTATCTTATTGATTTAATCAGGAACTACAAAACCGAATGCTTTGAAATCTAATGTGAAAAAAAAACATAATAGGCATGCAGTCGTCACGTTTCTGATAGCGAGGGAAGTACTGTCTAAACTCTTTATACCAATTATTTCGATTTTCCCATTTTTCCATTTCTCAATTTTTCAATGTTTCAGTTTGGGATTTTTTCACTGTTTCGATTCTTTAATTTTCCTTCCATTTTTAGGTTTTTCAATATTTCAGCTTTGGAATTTTGCAATATTTCGTTTCTTCAATTTTTCAAATTTTTGATATTGTGTTTTCTCGGTTTTTAAATTTTTCGATATTTTAATTTTTCAGTTTTTAAAGTTTTAGGTTTTTAGATTTCTCACTATCTCGACTTTTCGATTTTTCAGTGCCATGATTTTTCAATTTGTCGAATTTTTAAATTTAAGATTTTTTGTTCTCGATCATTCAATTTTCTGAGTTTTCAGGCTTGGATTTTTTTTGTTGTTTAATTAATTCTTGGATCCTTTTCAGTGATTTATTTTATCCGAAATGAATGAAACGAATGACCTTATACTGAAAAGAAATAAAATTAGTCCTTAGAATGAGAAGAGAGGGTGGGGGGATGGGCGGGGCTAGTTTTTGCTAAGAAAAGACTGATCTTGGCAAATGACACATTTGCTGTTCTTCAATTCTTTAATTTTTTGTTTTTTCAGGTTTTTGATTTTTCAATTTTTCGATTTTTTAAGGTTTCTATTTCTCGACTTCACTTTTTTGATTTTTCGATTTTTCAGTTTTTAGATATTTCAGTTTTAGGATTTTTCAATATTTCAATTCTTCGGCTTTTCTATTTTTGACTTCTGGGTTTTTCGATGTCTTTTTACTTTTTCGATTTTTCAATTTTTGGATTTTTAAATTTTAGATTTTTCAATTTTTTGATATTTTAATTTTTCAATATCTTTTAATCTTTCTATTTTTCGACTTCCTGGTTTTAGATGTTCTGTTTATCAATTTTTCGATTTGTTAATTTTTCGTTCCCGATTTATCGAGATTTGATTGTTTAGGTTTTCGATTTATCAGTTTTTCAATTCTTTATTTTGGTCTATTTCGGTTTCTCCGTTTTTCCAGTTTTCCATTTTTTCGTTTTTTGATTTTTCCGCTTTTCCAATTTTTCAACTTTTAACTTTTTGTTTGTCGATTCTCTATTTTTCGATTTTTCGATTTCATCACTTTTCGATTTCTCGTTTTTTTGATCTTTCAATTTTTCGAATTTTTAAGTTTTTTGATTTCTCGATTTATCGAGATTTGGATTTTTCGATATTTTGATTGTTAATTTCTCAATTTATAAATTGTTCAATTTTTAATATTCCGACTCCACGATTTCTTGATCTTTTGGTTTTTCGATTTCTCGGTTTTTCGATTTTTTAAATTTGGGAGTTTCGATTTCTCGATTTTTCGTTATTCGGTTCATATACAGGATGACCCCAAAAACTAATGAATGCGTAAATTTATTTTATTGATTTAATCAGGAACAACAGAACCAGTGCTTTGAAATCTTGCAAATATTTTAAGGTTGTAAAGAGCATAATACATTTTAGTCAAAATATATTTGCTTATCCCCTTCAAAAAATTGATGACGTCAGTTCAAAAGTTTGCCGTATAATCCTATTTAAAATTTACAAAATATGATGAGTCTCTTCTTGTAATTTATCATTCCATTCACATTTTTTGGATTCGCATATACAGGGTGACTCAAAAAATTTAATGAATGCGCAAATTTATTTTATTGATTTAATCAGGAACTACAAAACCGAATGCTTTGAAATCTAATGTGAAAAAAAAAAACATGATAGGCATGCAGTCGTCACGTTTCCGATAGCGAGGGAAGTACTGTCTTAAACTTTTTAGACCAATTTTTTTGATTTTTCCATTTTTCCATTTCTCAATTTCTCAATGTTTCAGTTTGGGATTTTTTCACTGTTTCGATTCTTTAATTCTCCTTCCATTTTTAGGTTTTTCAATATTTCAGCTTTGGAATTTTGCAATATTTCGTTTCTTCAATTTTTCAAATTTTTGATATTGTGTTTTCTCGGTTTTTAAATTTTTCGATATTTTAATTTTTCAGTTTTTAAAGTTTTAGGTTTTTAGATTTCTCACTATCTCGACTTTTCGATTTTTCAGTTCCATGATTTTTCAATTTGTCGAATTTTTAAATTTAAGATTTTTTGTTCTCGATCATTCAATTTTCTGAGTTTTCATTCAGGCTTAGATTTTTTTTGTTGTTTAATTCTTGGATCCTTATCAGTGATTTATTTTATCCGAAATGAATGAAATGAATGACCTTATACTGAAAAGAAATAAAATTAGTCCTTAGAATGAGAAGAGAGGTGGAGGGATGGGCGAGGCTAGTTTTTGCTAAGATAAGACTGATCTTGGCAAATGACACATTTGCTGTTCTTCAATTCTTTAATTTTTTGATTTTTCAATTTTTCGATTTTTTAAGGTTTCTATTTTTCGACTTCACTTTTTTGATTTTTCGATTTTTCAGTTTTTCGATATTTCAGTTTTAGGATTTTTCAATATTTCAATTCTTCGGCTTTTCTATTTTTGACTTCTGGGTTTTTCGATGTGTCTTTTTACTTTTTCGATTTTTCAATTTTTGGATTTTTAAATTTTAGATTTTTCAATTTTTTGATATTTAATTTTTTCAATATCTTTTAATCTTTCTATTTTTCGACTTCCTGGTTTTAGATGTTCTGTTTATCAATTTTTCGATTTGTTAATTTTTCATTCCCGATTTATCGAGATTTGATTGTTCAGGTTTTCGATTTATCAGTTTTTCAATTCTTTATCTTGGTCTATTTCGGTTTCTCCGTTTTTCCAGTTTTCCATTTTTTCGTTTTTTGATTTTTCCGCTTTTCCAATTTTTCAACTTTTAACTTTTTGTTTGTCGATTTCTCTATTTTTAGATTTTTCGATTTCATCACTTTTCGATTTCTCGTTTTTTTGATCTTTCAATCTTTCAATTTTTCGAATTTTTAAGTTTTTTGATTTCTCGATTTATCGAGATTTGGATTTTTCGATATTTTGATTGTCAATTTCTCAATTTATAAATTGTTCATTTTTTAATATTTCGACTCCACGATTTCTTGATCTTTTGGTTTTTCGATTTTTTAAATTTGGGAGTTTCGATTTCTCGATTTTTCGTTATTCGGTTCATGTACAGGATGACCCCAAAAACTAATGAATGCGTAAATTTATTTTATTGATTTAATCAGGAACTACAGAACCCAATGCTTTGAAATCTTGCAAATATTTTAAGGTTGTAAAGAGCATAATAAAATTTTAGTCAAAATATATTTGCTTATCCCCTCCAAAAAATTGATGACGTCAGCTCAAAAGTTTGCCGTATAATCCTATTTAAAATTTACAAAATATGATGAGTCTCTTCTTGTAATTTATCATTCCATTCACATTTTTTGGAGTCGCATATACAGGGTGACTCAAAAAATTTAATGATTGCGCAAATTTATTTTATTGATTTAATCAGGAACTACAAAACCGAATGCTTTGAAATCTAATGTGAAAAAAAAAACATAA